ATCTCCCTCCCCCTCCCTCTCCATTTCCCTCTCCCTCTCCCTTCCGTCCCTGCAGGGCCACCTGCATGCTCTCCGGCTGTCTCCATGGGGCCAGCGTGACTGTGAGGCTGCCTCGGCTCCTTTCCAGGTAAGAGCTCGCTGGGATCCTGCTGCACACCCAGCGTGCCCAGGCGAGGTGACAGTCACTCGTCACAGAGCAACCCGGTGAAGCTTAATGTCTCCCTCCCTGTTTATTGCAGGTCCTCTGGATCTCCCTCACAGAAACTTCGTGTGGGAGCTGGGCTGGCAGTGCTTCCCATCACGGACCAAGCAAGCAGGCGCTCCAAGCTGGGCCTCGGCTTCCGCGAGGGCCGTAGACTGCTAGGTTCCTAGCTGTGGGGAGGCAGGAAGGTGGGTGAGATGCAAGTGTCCCAGCAGAGCGGCTGCAAGGGATGGGCGCTTGCACCAGTGGCTTTGGCTCGGGTGTCCCCACGCGTCCCCTACCTGTGCTGCCAACAGCTCCGTCTGGGAGAAGGGTCCCCCATGCAGCCGGAGGGAGACGAGATCTCCGTCGCGCTCGTGGAGGTGTTGGACCTCCTCACCGGCCAGGCTGGTGGCTGCGTGGCCGGAGGCTGCCCCAGCTGGAGGGTTTCCCATAGCTGGTGCCCAGGAGGTGATGCCCGTCTCCTTGCCCTGCCCTGCAGAGTTTGATGGAGAACCGGTCGGATGACAGCGGGAACTGTTGTTATCACCGGGGGAATCCTAGCCACGGTGATCCTGCTGTGCATCATTGCCGTGCTCTGCTATTGTAGGCTTCAGGTAAGCAGCCCCGCGCCTTCCTGCGCCTCCCGCCCAATCGCTGGCATGGCGGGGACCTCGGGGACCTTCCCCCCTGTCTCGGTATTCACCGAGAGCTAACGTTCTTCCTGGACCTGGGCAACTCTCCCCAGGCTTCTGAGGATCTGCAGCACTCGGCAGTGTGGGCTTGGCTGGGTCTGTGACACCAGGTGCAGGGTTTTATCTTTCCCTGCAGCTCCAGCAGGGAGGCTTTCAGCAGCAGCAGGCTGCAACCTCTGTCTTTTTAAAAGTTAATGTGGTGCCGGTGCCACACAGCAGTTATCTCCCATGCTCTCCATCACACGGGAGTAGGGCGTGTTCCCGGCTGGTGCGATGTAATTCCAGGCTTTCCTGCTGTGCTGCGCACGGGAGAGGCTGCATCCTCACCAGCTGCCTCTCAGAGCACGTTTGGGTCAGCGGCCAGGTTGCACCCCATGCCAGCCGCTCCGTGGGACCCGCCATCCTTTGGGCAGAGTGGAGCAGCCACCTCGAGCAGAGGGGGCCAGCAGGGAGCTTCTCTGGCAGGGGTACGAGCAGTGGTGGGGCCGAATCTACCCGCTGACTCCTTTGCTGCCACGGGGCAGAGGAGCTGACCCAGCTCTGCCTCCCTGGGGAGGCTAAACCCCGCTCGGTCTCAGTGCAATACTTCTCCCACCAGCTGCTTAATCGCTCCTTGGCTTTGCGGGCAGGCAGAGCCCAGGCGGCCCCACTCAAGCTGCAGTAGCGTAGTGCGATGGATAAGGCTGCCTGCTGGTGTCACTGCCCTCTCCCCTTCCCTATCCAGGGTGGTTCCTGGGGGTGGAGGTGGCTCTTGCCTCTTGCTTTCTGGTAACAGCCTTTCCCTCACGCCCAGTACTACTGCTGCAAGAAGGATGAATCTGATGAGGAAGAGGAGGAGGAGGAAGAGGAGGAAGAGCCTGACCTTCCTGCTCAAGTACATCTTGGCACATGCAATGCCTGCAACTTCCGCGCTGTGGATGGCCAGGGCAGCCCCGTGTCGCCACCCAATGAGCTCAGCCAGCGAGGGGCTCACAGCTACTGCCCCACGTGCTCGCCCTACGGCTCCCCCTTCTACATACGGACTGCCGACATGGTGCGCAATGGGGGCGAGCGCATCCCCTACGCACCCGCGTGCTACAAGGAGATGGGGCAGCCCCTTGGCATGGCGGCCCTCCAAGGCTACCCGGTGAGCCGCCACGGCGTCCTTCACGAGAGCTTCCCGAACCCCAGGGCTATCAGTACGGACGTGTAGCCACCACTGTCACTTGCACAGGATGCTCCAAGCAGGCGCCCACTCGAGGGAAGGGGCTTCTCACTTGTATTTGGGGGCGTTCATGCAGGGAGGACCCCGTAGTCCAGGCCAAGACCAGCACAGTCCTCCTGCGGAGCTGCCCAGCACTACTAAGCTTATGGGTAAGAAGATGAGAGAGACGTCAAAGGGCAACGTTAGAACAGCTATCCTTGAACCCATAATAAATGTAATTACTATTCTACTCTATCTCCTGAAGGGACTTGTCTAATGAGGGCTATGTACAGTACAAACTAACGAAACTACCCAAGACTTGCCTGACCTTCCAGACTTCCCGAGCCTCAAATAAGGTCTTTGGTGTCTACACGAAGCAACCCTACCTGCCACTACCTGAGGCAATAGCCACAGCCTCCGGTACAGTGAACCGAGCTCATGCAGATGCTGGGAGCTGCCACCTCTGCAGCAACGGGAACAACAAGCAGAGGGAAGGAGAGAGGCGGAAAATCCCAATGCCAAGTGCTCCAATTGATGGAGAGCAAAGGTTTGGATYGTTCTCCCCTTGTACAGCATTAGTTTCCATTAATGGTTAGCTTTCCTGTTACAAGTAAAAATGATCTTTACATGAGCTGAACAAGCTAAAGAGGAAATGAATTTGGGCAACTGCAAGGGGAGGCAAAGGAGCTAGTAAAGCTACTCATGTAGGCTGATGGACACAGGTTGATCCTTCTGCTTTCACAGCCCCTGCGCCTTTTAATATTCACAAGCTTTCTTAGGAGTCATTTTAACTTGAGCCAGTAAAAATGTCAAGATTTTATGTGCGGGAAGCATTGCACCTGTGGGGAAGTGCTGTCTCCACCACCTTCAGCCTTCAAAGCCCTCAGATTACCCTGACATTTCTGGCAAGCTGGAAGGAAGATTGTGTTCAGGAGAGAGTTTGCTTTTGCCAGCAATAGAGGAGACTCCCCAGGTCACTTCTCCTCCTTTGATGGCAATGCGGCCTCCAGTGAGGCACTCCTCCTTTCCTTTCCGAAGAGGATGCAAGACCTGAGCTTGGGTTCATCGGCTCTGCAGCCGGTAATGACAGCTCGGCCAGTGACTCTGTCTTTCTGCAAAAATGAATGTGGGAAAGTTCCTTCTTCCTCCATAAATCAAATTAGGTGAAAAATTACTGAAAAGGCATCTCCGTCATTCACAGGCACTTCCATAGCAACCGAGGCGGAATGGCTCTGCTGAGCACTTCTCATTCACGGTAGCGAGGAGGAACCCGGACAGCAAAGATTCCCACAGCCTTATGGATATTAAAGGTAACAGCAGGAAAATGACTACTCCACTTTTGCAACATATGGTAGAACTGCTCAGAAATACGAGTAGGGCTTTTTTCACTACTACAGTTTGGAATTTGGCCTGATGCTCCCAGAAGGATTTGGACTGCCCAGTCTTAATTTCCTTATCTGTGTGCAGCTAGATAGGCCTCTGCATAAAGGCACATGTCACCAGAGCCTCAGCCACTTACATTATCAGGCGAAAGGTTACCTTACACTTTAGACTGGTTCATACCTGGGTACCTCTGCTCTAGCTACCAGAAAAGAGGGAGCCAAGTAAATACTATGAGGAAGGTCCTTGTAAACCCAGACAGTTTTATCCTGCCCCCCTTTTGCCCCACCTCTGTCTCACGTTATTCACCATCTACCCCATCTTCAAGCCAGAGAGACACTGGCCCATCCTCCTGAGGCTCGGTCCTGAGGCTGCGTTTCTTCTATAGAGCCTCCTTCACGTCTCCAGGCGGTGACAGCAGGTCTTTAAATGTTCTATCACATTGCAGGCAGGCATGAAGTAAAAAATTGGGAATGCAGCAACAAAGTGCACTAGCTCATAGTCCGTAGCTGCTGCTGCCCTCCAGACAGTACTCCCCGCTGGTTACATAATCTGACCCGTCTTCTTGTCTACCTTGGCAAATCCTGTCCTTTCCCTCTAGGGCATCTGCCCAGCTAGGCCTCCACCCGCGGGGAGCAGCAAGCCCCGGTGCTGCAGGTCCCTCCTGCGCCGCTCTGCCAGGCAGCACCATCTCGGCCACAGGCACAGAGCCCGCTCAAGGACACTGCGTGTCCAGGTGTCTGATTCTACCTCTTGGTGCCAAGCATGGCTTCCTGCTGCTGTGGCACTGTGGGCTGCRCTGCTGCATTGTCAAGGTGGTGCTCACACGCCGGGCTCTTGTTTCTGCGGCCACCCTTCTGGTGAAAGGCTTCCATCACTAAYCTTCTCTTGGAAGACAAACGTATCATCATCTTCATCTCATGCAAACTGAGCATAACTAACAAGGTGCCAAGCCTGGCAGGACAATTCCGGAGTAGCTGGATGGCCAAGATAAGGATTAACCTCACAGCAAATATGTAAAATCGTGGGCCTGGCATATCTGCTCATGAATGGGTGAGTCTGGAAGGGCAGAAATGGGAGAGCCCAGTGTGAAGTCTAAGCTTTTGGGGAAGGAGGGGGAACAGGAAGGGGGAAGGGATCTCAGATTTTTTCCACTTCACATTTCTCCTCTTATTATTCTCTTTTTGTTGCTCAGCTGTGAGTCCAAATATAATGTCAGAAATAAATGAGGACTTTCAAATACAAAACAGGAGTGGTTTCTGTCCTTTGGCAGGCAACACAAAATGGGGTTTATACAGTGTTGCCCTGGAAGCTGCCTTGGCTCAAGGATTTGTCCTTCCCACCCTTTCTGCTTTTCTTCTTCTCCTGCCCCTCTTTCTCCTTCACCTCTGGTCTAGGTGCATGCAACCCCAAAACTTTTACAGTTTAGCTCTTTATTGTGACACAGATTTTTGGTGTGTTTTAGATATTGACCTTGTAGTACAAAAATGAGCACAGTAGAGTGGCTGTTGGCCATGTGGGCTCTGTTGCAGGCCAGCCTCTTTGCCTCACCATCTCCAACTAGGGCTTCTGCTGATGTGGGCCTGGTTGGGGCTGCCACATGAATGACCAGAGCACTGAGGAGGAGCTCTTCAGAGAGGACTGACAGCATGGACAGGCTTTCCCAACTCGCTTCTCAGTAGCTTTGTAGGAACTGGCAGTTTGTCTTAAGTAAAATCCTCTCAGTGGCGAGCAGACAGCGATGACTAAGTCCTAAAATCCTTCCTYGCTAAGCGGGCTGGCTTACAGGGATAGGTTCCGTGGCCAAGCTACACAGGGTGGCTTCATGTGGTAAAGTCTGGTTCCAGGCGCTCTTACCACTGAGCGCGGAAGGACAGTACGGCCTGGCAGCAGTCAGGGTGACTTGGTGTGACACGACCGGCAGCAAGCCTTCCTGTAGTACCAGTGAGAGCACAGCTTCACCTTCAGCACCAGCATGCAGTTGGACGTCGCTCTGTCTTCACAGTCGTCTTCTGGAGGACAGAAGCRCCCACAGAAAGTGTTAGCGCAGAAACACCCTTCCCCTAGCTGAAAGCGGGAGGCAGCAAAGGGCTCCCAAAGACTCCTCTCTCCTGACCCTCTCAGTCTCACCTGGTGCCTCTGTGGGGCATGGCGGGAGTTGGCAGCTCTGCCTAGCTTCTGGTTTGGAAGTGGGGTCACAACCCTGACCCAGCGCCTCCCCTTGGTAGCACTTCACCTCACGCAGTCGCACACCAGCCCCGCACGTCTTGCTGCACTGTTGGGATCAAGAAAGGACAGGGATTGTAAGAGACATTTTCTTTTCCTACAGGTCCCAAGTGTTTCCTTTCAGTCACGCCTCTCAGTTTCCTATTTTGGTGGCTGTTCTTGAGGAGGACACACTTGTCTCAAACCCAGACTTCTCTCTCACTGCTGGAGCAGAGCCAGTCAGAGCTGGGGGACAGGCAGGGTGATGTAGCAGTTCTTTTTTTCTTCTTTAATGCAATTTAGAATGGTTTTTGCTTTGGACACTGAATGCTTTGTGCATTTAGAGGGACAAAACAGCTCGTGTGAGCCAGTCCCAGTCCCCSCTGTCCCCTGATTCCCTAAATGCTTAGCAATTAAAATGAAAGGAAAGCAGGGAGAGGAGAGAACATGGACTCCTAGCAGAGGGAGGAGACAGGGCTGTACTGGCTGTGGTGTGGTCATGGTCTGGCATCAGATAATAATCTACATGCTCTAAGGTTTTCTTCAGCCAGCAGGTGTCGGTGCCTCTACTGGCCGCCTGGACTGACACAGAGCAGGACTCGCGGATCTGTCTAGACCTAACACAGAACACAGAAGAGGACAGTGCAAATCCTCAGTGCTCCATGCAGTTCATGCTCCATCAGCCTAGGTCATGAGGCCACCTCTGTCTGCATTCTCAAGCCCCACCTGAGACCAGGAAGTGGTGAACCATGTTGAACAGGGTCTCCTGAAACAGGCAACTTGCTCCTCAGGCTTCTGAGAGGCCTCACAGCGCTTCTCAGGATACTCCCTGTACACACCATTCTCCAGGCCTGCACACAAGACGATCCGAGTCTTCATTCCTCGTCCACAGGTGGCATCACACTGAGAAAAAGAACATAAATGACCAGGTGATGAATGATGCTCCTCAGCAGCAGAGTCAGGCTGCAGGTACAGGAGCAGCCTGTTCAGAAGCAGGCTGCTTTGTGCCTGTGCTAAAACCCATGGGGCCAGTGCTTCCCAGGTCATGGGAGCAACAGTGTCTGAAAAGGAGCTGAATTTCTGAGAGTGAGACCAGGAGCTGGTATTAATTTTATCCAGCACTAGAGCAAATTCAGCTTGGCTGGACTGAAAGCCACTTCCACAAGAGACCWGAGCAGCCAAAGTAAGACTACAAGCATTCCTTCTGTCTTATTTCACATATATCCATGCCTCAAAGACCATGTAAGTCAAGTATACGGTAATGTATTTGTGCAGCAATTGTGGTTGACATGTAGGCACAATAACAAGCTTTGCTGGCGGTGAAGGGAACCAAATTGCTGCATTGCAGGGCACCTGCACGAACACGTACTGCTCAGCCCAAAGCCATACCGGCCTAGGTGGGAGGACTGAGTGTTTTAGGACAATACTGGGGGAAGCAGGCAGGCAGCAGGAGGAAAGATCTGATTCTAGCTTTGCTCTGCTCCTTGATGGCAGTTGCTGGTTTGAGATTTCACTTTGTGCCCTTCTCCGCCGTGTCAGGGCTAGCCCCGGTGCAGAGGGAGGAAGCTAGTTTGCACTGCCCTTAGTCACCCTGTGAATGGCTCATGAAGAGCTAATAACCCACCTAGGAGAACACAGCACAGACAAAGCAGCTAGCACACAACAGGACGAGGAGCTCATCTGGCCTTTCAGACCTCAAGCTGAGTTAATAATCTAGCAGTAATGGAAAAACTGCACTGCRAAACAGTGAGCGACCCACACCACGGACCTGGGCAAGAAGGGGTTATGCGACTGCCACGGTCCCCAAGATTTAATCAATTTGTGCTAGTTACCAATGCTGTAGGAAGACTTAGCTGAATATGGTCAACAGGTAATGCCCCAAGAAGGGGCAGCAAAAGGAGAACACAGGTTTTATCTATGAATGGAACGAATGGGTGTTGGTTGCTTCACTGGTTCCCTAGAAGGCTTGTACCCTTCTTCCTTACTGATGTATAAATCATTATATTGCTCAGGACTTTATAAGGGAAACTCCAAATCTAACCAATGTACCAACATACCCCTTCTGGGGATTTGGACCAGCTTGTAACTGCCACAGTCCTCCAAGGCCTTCAGCAAAAGAGGGGAGTGGCAGCGAACCATCAGTCACTCACATGTGGAGCGAAGCAGATGGGTCCTGTTCACTGCGCTATGAGACCTGAGACAAGSAAATGCTCACAGACTGGTTGCCTTTTCCAGGGCAGAGACTGGAGCTGTAGTTCAGGTTTATCTCCAGCTCTTACCTATCAAAGATGAAGTTGGTTTTGTTGGAGGTTTCTGTGTTGTGGTGAGATTAAAATCTCAGGGACACTGATGTCGGTTTTGGTTGAAGAGCTGTGCTGTAGAATACGTAACTGCCAGGTCCTTTCTGGGAGCCAAGGGTGAGAGGGGATGGTTTCCTCAGGGCACTGCTGCCCTCCAAAGGAGGTTCCAGGAAAGACAGCAAGCGCTATAAACGTTGGGGTGGCCCACAGGCTGCTTTGTAAGGAAGCAGAGTGTCCACCACCATGTAGGAAGTGGAGACTCCTCCCTGGTTCAGCAGGGCCCACAGTGACTACACCTCCTGCTCCCTTCCTCTGGGAGCTCAGGTAAAACAGGCTGTGTGTCTTGCCCCTGGGTTGCGGGAGATAGATACTGAGAGGAAGAGAGGGCTGAGCCCATGGGGCTCTGCCTGGCTTTACCTGATCCCACTCCTGCTCCACCCAGTGCGCAGGGCAGTTCTTGTCACCACACGGATGGATGGCCAGAGGCTTGGCAGCTGGGTCACACTGGGAGTCAGCAATCACCTTGCCGTCATGGTTGCGACACGCAATGAAGCGGCTCATGCGTCCTTCACCACACGAACCTGAGCACTTGAAGAAATAAAAGGCATTTAGACACAGCAGGAAGCAGGCAGGAGGAAAAGAGAGGTTGGGGGATACCAAGCTGGAAGTSTAGCTATGCTCCTGGGGTTGTGGCCTTTGACTCTAGCAGTCTGTAGAGGCACRATGGGTCACAGGCTTCCATTTCAGTCTCTTGCCTCCCAGTACCAAGAGCTTCCCAGATTTTTTAAATAGGTTTTTATACTTACTTGCCTCACAGCTGACAAAYTGATAGCTCGTGAACAGGCAGAGGCAAAACCGCAGAGCAATGCGGTGTCTCTAGCTTAGCCTCTATGAGACCGAAGTCAAAGGACAGTAGCAACATGCCTGCACTGTCCAAGCTGATGCCTCCCTCCTGCCCGCCTTGTGTCACTTGCATTAGGGAAAAGGGTGGGCAGCCCCTTCGCACTCACCGGGCCCCAGTCCGAGGCAATCCAGCGGCGGTCACAGGGCGGGCCTGTGCACACCTTCTCACTTCGGGGCTTTTGGGACTCGTCACAGATGGGTGCTTCCACTGAGCAGCGCACCTCCCTCTTCATCATCCCCTGCGTGCCGCACCGGGCTGAACACTGCAAAGGCCCCATGGTGTCAGAAACTGAGCAAGGGGGATGAGTAACAGACAGAAAATGCAAACTGTAAATGCCTCCTTCCATTTTGCTCTTGCTGTGCTAGCAGAGAGGAAGGACCTGAGCAGGCACAGAAAGGTGGGTCTGACTCTGTCTCTGCAGCTTACTTTCTTTGGGACCTAGATGCTGAGACGTGACTTGCTACATAGGGTTCCTGGGCAGTTCTCCTACCCCAAGCAGGTCATGAGAAGTCAATGGAAGGATTTGAACATATGGTGTTTAGCTTCTCTCTGTCTCCACACCCCAGTTTCCCCATGCATCTTCAGTTCAATTTTCCTGACCGCTTACCTCCAGGATCAAAGAGYCTCTGCTGCCTACCTCAGACCACTCGGAGAGCTCCCACTGGGGCCCACAGGCTGTGTTTTTGCAGGCTTTCCTCTCCATGGGCCGGGCCAGCCCAGCTGACTCGCAGAGGTCATCATAAACAGAGCTGTCAAAGCCTGGAGCCAGCATCTTCCAGCAGCGCACAGTTCGGTACTGATAACCCTCTCCACAAGTCCTGGAGCACTCACTCCACCGGCTGGTCTCCCATCTCCTCAAACAGTCCCCAGGAGAAAGAGAAGAGAGCAAAACCCAGGTAAGGGGGCAGCAGGACACAGGGTGACTGGGGAATGGGTGCTGCCCTAGGACTCTGCCTAGTAACTCTGCTCCTCAAGCACACCTCTGTGTTAAGTCCAATTCTGAGAGACAACTTTGCTATTAGCAAGTAATGCAGATATAGTAAATTCCTTTCCTCTTTTTGCTTATATGGGCATTCATGGGTTTAGGAATATCTTTCAATCCAGAAATGGCTGTATATTTTGAGCAGAAAATGTTGATTACAAAGATATCCTGTTCCCATGCACAGCTAATTGTTCAGACTGTGATGASCTCTACTAGGTTAGTCAGCCTAGTAGGCACTGGGGTGAGTCACTGAGATGACCTACAGTGAAGACAGGCCTGTGAATGATGGGGTCAGGTCGGCTTCATCTTTGCTTCTTCTCTCTGGACTTCACTGTCCAGCAGATGAGGATGTGCAATTGGAACTGTTATTTCCACTCACCTGGGCTGGCAATCTCTCCCTGTGCAAAACTCGTGAGTAGGTTCTGGTCGCATCAGAGCATCACAGTATGTTTCATCCACTTCCACCCCATCATATCGGACACACATCGCATAGGAGGCACTGATACCTGCTGGACAGTCAAGAATTTCTCTTAGTCAGGCTCCATCATATCCAAAAGCTTGCTCCCACCATGACAGGATTATTGGAGAATGCTCATTGCATCTGAACCTCTACCTGCCATTTTCAAGTGGAAGACTTGAGTGAGATCTGGAAAATGAACTCACTGTTAAAGGACTAGAGTACTATGCAGAGCTTTGGGTTCTGAGTGTGTTTAAGAGAAGATTCATTTCTTCCCCATTATCATCCAGATATGGCATTTTTTTTTCTGGTATGCATCTTCAGAGAAAAACAGCCTCGAAAATACGCACCAGATCTTCAAAACTATTTAGATTCCTATCTTTAAGAAACTGCCTTTTTGTGATTTTGCCTAGGACAGGGAATAGACTCAGTGCTGTAAGCACCCTGGAGACTCCAGATCTCAGTTGGACTATAACTGAGGACTTTCCAGTGAAGGGCTGTGAAGTCCTAGTGTCAAACCTACCTGATGTGCACGTGGAGCTGCAAGGGGCATAAGCTGAGACCTTCCACCGGTACATGTCAGCCAAGCTGATATCATCATGGCCTACAGGACTCACATCAAACTCATTGCTGTGGAGAAACAAGTATGAACTAAAATGAAATATATACGTCAGGACACCAAATGCAAGTGGAGTTCATTTCCTCTTGACATGCTTTGAAGACAGAGGAATGAATGATAGGGGAATGCCTATCTGCTTTCAATCTCTGTCTCCCTCACCTTGGGCAAGACAGATTATGTGCAAACAGAGTTTAAATCCCTGATCTGCCTCCTGATTTCAACAAGTGAGGCTGTGTCTAGCCATGGGCCCACATCCCTTGGAGAGGATGTAGTTTCTAGTGAGACTCATAGACATCACACTTGGAAACACATAGGAGGCCTCAGTTCCTGTGATCACTTTGAAAGGCATCATGTTAGGTTCAAAAGGAGTACCCAAGAAAGATCCCTTTTAATATTGCATAATGTGGCAGGGAAAGCTCACATGTGGCTTGCCAGAAATGTCTGAAGTTGTCCCTCAGGTCACTGGCAGAGAATTGTTGGAATTAGAGACAAGTGTGACAAAAAGCGCAACATGTGCATATGTGATATGCTCTGGACTCCTGTCCGTCTCTATGATCACGCTAATGTTGGCTGCACAGGTCCTTCAGAATCCAATTACAGGGATCTGTAGCTGAAGACCTTAGAAGGAAGGGGGACAACAAATATGCTGTGGGAGCCAGGCCAGGAGTTGTGCAAATTACTCTCCAGTGGACACACCACCAGCAAAGTGTCTACACCACCTGCTATGGATAGACACTGTAAAAGAGGAACACCAAGGACAGGAGCGAGACTACCCGAGGATTGGCTTGACCTTCCCTCCCCAGCTAACCATGCTCCTGTTTTGCCCTGGGTATTAAGTGCCACCTTTCAGTGCCAGGGGCTTGCAGAGGCTCTGCCTGGCTGATGTCTGCGGTAGTGCTGGCACCTAGCAGAGGGATCTCCACAGACGCCATCAAGCTGTAGTTAGTTGCTTCCCCCTGACTCCCAGTGAACGTCTCCACCTTCAAGTCCTCCAGCAAGTTCTTACGGGCCGGTGCTTTGTGAAGGCCCTGTGGCCCCTGGGCAGGCATCTGGCTCCATAGCCCTCCGGTGCTGTTCCTCTGGAGCAGCCTGGCAGTCGGGTGCTGCAGCTCCCTACAGAAGGCAGAGTTGTTTGGGTCTCGGTGACAAAGACGCCTGAAGAGACGGAGCCTGGAAGATGCCACACGGCTGTTCTTTGAGAGCTCAGGTCTCCTCATGCTGTAAGGAATGGCCGTGCTGATGGATATCTGATTGAATCTGAGGGCTGCAGGAAAAACATGGGGATGCTTTATGAGGGTAAAACATCCTCTGCCTTGAGTGTGTTAAGGAGACTGAGGACCAAAAGGTTTTCAGCCACCTGGGATGGTTTATGATTTAGCATGTGGTTCAGCGATACCCAATAAGGGAAAAAACATTAAGTTTTTAAGACTCAAGATCGTAAGTTGCTATCAGAGCCCCGAGCGCGTTAACAAGCCTCGCCTCAGATCCTCATGCTCTTTGCCCACAGCCCAGGAATTCCACTTAAGCTCAGGCCTGGGCCTTAATTCTGGCATGAACCATASTTAGGTATACTTTGTTCCCAATTCTCTTCTTGAATTCTGGGAGGTTTCCAGACAGACCTGACTTCTCACTTTGCCTTTGTCCAGTGATCCCTGGCCTGTGGTTAAGATCTCTTGCTGTCACCACCCTGCTCTGCTTGCCTGACTTGAGTGCACTGGGATCACATCTTTTCAGAGAGGACACTGCCTGACCTGCATCGTGGCTGCCCTCAGCTTCCCACTGCTTGGGGAGCAACAGGCCCTTGCTGCTCCCTGACAGGAGAGTACTGCTTCTGCCTTCTGCCTATGCCATTAATCATCAGTTCTAACTGTCTGCCCTGACCAGAAAGTCATCTTAGATTTCAAGAAGACCAGAGCTGAATGTTCTGGGGTGTCCACTTTCAGTGGGTGAAGACTTGGGAGTCAAGGTAAAACAAAGCAACCAACCCAGCTCTGTTTCTCCATGAACTGCTGCTGCCTCCTCTTCTTCCTCTCTTTCTGTGCTTGCATGGTAGACCTGCCTTATCCGGAAGTCATACTTCTCCTCCTTTTCTCCACCTTGTTCCCAACGCCAATTCCGAGGTTGACTGGTAGAGTTAGTCTGGAAGAAATCCTGGCGGCTGAAGCCTAAATCTTCATGCCCTTCTCCTAGTGGAAGTTGTTCGCTGGTGTCATCTGGTGAAAGGGAGAGCCATGTGGTGTTGAGGTCCTGGGCAGTTCTGGAGCTGGCAGGAATGGGTTGGTTCTGGCTGATGTCTGGTGGATGATGATAGAGAGGTGCATCAAAAGCAGGGGCTGCAGTTTGGAGAGTTGGTGTTCGTGGCACAGTGTAGTCATAAGTTATGTGCGGCATTTTCCCATTAAAGTTATAGTACTGCAGGCAATAAGGAAAGAAAATGAAATCCTTTTTATTTTAAGGACGTATATTTCAGAGAGATCTCTCTTAATCACATCCACTTTGTGATAAATGTTGAGGAGAAAGCATTCTTGTTAACCCAAGAGGAAATCCCCTCAAGACAGTATCTGCCTTCCTCAGATGCCTCAACTTGGGAATCACAGAATCACAGAATGTTCAAGGTTAGAAGGGACCTCTAGAGATCATCTAGTCCAACCTTCCTGCTCAAGCAGGGACACCTAGAGCATATGGCCCAGGGTGGCGTCCAGGTGGGTTTTGAAGACCTCCAATGAGGGAGACTCCACAACCYCCCTGGGCAGCCTGTTCCACTGCTCTGTCACCCTCACAGTAAGGAAGTTCCTCCTCACATGGAGATGGAACTTCCTGTGTTTCAACTTATACCCATTTCCCCTAATCCTGTCACTGGCCACCAATGAGAAGAGCTTGGCCCCTTCCTCCCTACATTCTCCCTTACACATACTTATACATATTCATCAGATCCCCTGTCAGCCTTCTCTTCTCCAAGCTAAACAGGCCCAACTCACTCAGTCTCTCCTCATACGAGAGATGTTCCAGTCCCTTAATCATCTTTGTTGCTCTCCGCTGGACCCTCTCTAGAAGCTCCACATCCCTAGAACTAGATTAATATTCCTTTTGTCTGACAGAGGCTCACAATTCTGGGTGCCCTAAAATGGACACGCAAGATAGGAAAGCCTAAAACTAGCTCCCCACATACCATGGCATTTAGAGACTGGTTGGTGGGTCCATGAGCTATGATATACTCCAGCCCTTCTGAGTTCAGGCTCGAGGGCCGCCGATACTTGAAGATCGTGCCTGCTACCCTGAAGTTCTGGGGGTTGTCAATGGCGGAGTTGCCGTTGAAGAAGAAATGTCCGGATTCATCTGCAAGTGCTTCAAAGAGAGAGAAAAGGGACAAATGTGACACTGCACACACTAGAGCAGTGGGACTGCAATGGCACTGAGTAGAGCAGATAGTTCATCACTGGGAAAAGCCCTCTAGAAAACAAAGAACTGCAGGGCCTTCAGCGGTCATCTTCCAAGCTAGGTCAGATCAGTCGTATCCAACGCCTAGTTCTTTCACTTTCCTTTCCAACAAGAGTCTTCATGGCAGGGACTGCTCATAGCGAGCTTGGTTTCTGAATGCTTGAGATGTGATAGCCTTGTTTTTTGGAGAGATGATGTGCCCCTATAGCACCCTGGAGATGCTTGTTGATCCAGCTCTCCCACAGCACAGATGAGGGTGACCAGAGCCCTCCTCCCCTCTCCCAGGCTGTTGAACTTGGACGTCCGTCTACATCCTGCTCTTCTGCTTACCCAAGATGTTTTCTGTTTTCCTGCGCTCAATGATGAGGATGTCTGTGGCGCCAGCAGGGATGTTGGTGACAAACACATAACCTGGGGTACAGGAACAGAACCAAGTGTCAGAAAACTGTGAGGACAAAAAATAACCAAAGCAGTAAGTGTGCATGTAGCAGGGCAGTGTTGCCCTTGAGGCACCGTTACTCCTGCTACAGAGAGGGGCCCAAGTGCTTCTCTGGTCTAGTGTCTGTAGAAAGCAAGGTAGACTAGTAGAACAACATCATGAAATGCTGTTCCAGAACATCCCCAAACTACAGCTCTTTAATTACTAATGAGCATGGCCACACCACAGTCTATCCCTTCTATGGATGGAGGAACGAACCATGAGTTTGGAAGGGACTGTCCCTCAGCTATGCCAGCTATAACACCGGGGAAAGGAACGAACCATGAGTTTGGAAGGGACTGTCCCTCAGCTATGCCAGCTATAACACCGGGGAAAGCAGGAGAGCAAGTGCAGGAGTTGATATAAATGATGTGACCCTCAACACAGAAGCTTAAGCTTCCAATGAACTCATAGCACAAATAAAAGAAGATTCATTGACCTATTCACATTATCTGATGTAGGCAAGATGCCCAAATCAATAGGAACAAATAGATTCCCAGCTGCCTCCTATCATTAAGAGGTGAAGGTAAACCTTGCCAAACTAATACACAGCACATCAAACCAATGTCCCCTGAAGACTCAGCTGAAAGGACAAAATGCAGGCATTTTAGCAGGAGTTCTTCAGCTCTTTCCACCAAGCACTTTGGAAACTCCTACCCAGTTTCAGACCAGTAACCCTTGATCTTAGCTGACGGTAAGAAGCAGCAGGTGAAGTCTCTGGACTGTGGTAGCAGGGAGTACCTATCTGTGAGATTCCCTTTCGGAAGCTGCCCGAGACACGGTGGCAAGTGCTGCCGTCCCCTCCACACACCCTGCATCTGTCCATCGTCCGAGGTGAATACAGGCTCCCGTCGCACCCAACTGGCTGCAAAGGATGAAAGAACAAGAGAGGGTTTCCTGGGGCCACTTCATCTCCACAGGTCAGGTCTTTGCAAGGAAATGTTACCATGTTCTTTAGAAGAGGCTCTAGGTCTGGATATAGGGTTGCCTGGAGAGGAATGATGAGCAAATCAATCTAGCTGTGCAGAAATTCTCCTGTGTAACTTGTGACTGCCTACCCTGTATTCTTAAACATACTATGGGKGCTAGTGTGTGGAGGTGGAGTGAAAATAGGGAAGCTGTTTTGATTCCATCTGTCTCTAACTTTAGACCAATTCTTCTCACTGAAACATTGACATACATCATCACCCCCCAGGAGATGCTGCCTCAAAGGCAGGCGTATCACAAGATGTAAGGCTCCTCTTACAGAGTGTTGTAAAACTCTTCTTCCATTCTTGCAATATGAGGGAAAAATTGGGCGAAACAYTTTTATAGTGTTGGATGACTATGGAAACAAGCCTGGGATTCTAGTCTTCTCTGCACCAGGACGAAAGTGTTCTCAGTAGGAATGTGTGATGTGTCTCATGTTCTCTCTGTGAGCCTCTCTGTTCTACTCCATAGACACCCATTAACTACTTMATTCCAGGCCTCAGTTTCACTTCCCTGCAGGGGGCACTGGTTTTACGATGAACAGGAGTTCCAGCCATGCACTTATGCTCCCAGCTCCTACACTACTTCCTTCCAGAGCCTCACCTCACACTTTCCATTGATGCAGACCCCTTGATAGGTCCTGTCCTTGCAGGAGGTACCATCCTGGGCCTGGGCCATCAGCTGCCTCTCTCCACTCTGGGTGGTGCACTGGAGGTCACATGGTTTGTTGGAGATACTGGTGTAGTCATCTGAAGGAGCAAAGACAGAAAATCACTGGGCAGGTCAAGGTGATCGCAGAAGGTCAGCAAGGAAGGGGACTTTCCTCTTATCTACATTCTTGATTTGATGCCATCTGGGATGTTCTTGCTTCCCAAGAGGAGACCCCAGGGCTACAGATCTTGTGGTGGCAAAGGGGTCMTGGTATGAGGCTGCAGCTGGGGACCATGCCTAGCAGAAGGGAAGAAGCAGAAGTTTGCCTAGGTGGCAAACTCTCTTACTTGCCACAGCCTCTCCCCTAAGCATTGCCATTCCCTGTGCTAGCTGTGGGACTCCGCAGCAGTGGATCCCAGGCCATGCAGAAAATACACAAGAGCAAGCAAAACCTGTGAGCGAGCTGGGAGCTGCACGAGGCTGCAGCCAGCTACATGCCATCTAATAGTGCAGCTTAACCCAGAGGTGTAGATGGGGTGCGCCCCCTCTGCAGGTAATGGAAAGAGCAAAACAGGCAGGTTTGGAGAGAGTCATATCTCAGGCGAGCTCAATCTGGGCCTCGGGAGCCATGTGGCTACCCAGGGGAGATAATTTGGTGGTCTCTGTCTCCTCTGTGCCTCCTGATCAGAATAACCCACCACCAACCCTGCGGGAAGGCATGCTGGGTGACAGGGGCAGCCAAGCTGGGAGAAGGCACGAAGAGAGTGAACACGCACTCTGTCAAGGTGGTTGCTCAACTCAAGGGATGCCTGCGCCCTGTCTGCACACCGGTGCTTGCTGAGCTGGAATCCAAATCGGGAGCAGATATGGTGAGGGAGAAGGCCTGGCTGGGTGGAGTGGCTCTGTGAAGAGACAGGGAACGATCCCTTCAAAGCAGGGAGCATAGGGAAACTTCCAAATCAGCCAGTAGTGCCCATCTCTTTTCCCCTGTGACCTTCCCCTCTCCCATCCTGTGTCTGAGACAATTCTGTGGGTGCTTTCTCACCCTGATCCCCTGCCCTTGTCTTTTCATAGAAGCTATGGAGACCCACCTGGATAGAGCGGCATCCAGTGGTAGTAGCGCTTCCCAAAGGCTTTGGCATTGAAGCTGGAGCACTGCTGCTGTTTGAAGCTCACTGTGTTGGCTGGGCAGGGCTGTGGAGAGATTAAGCACAATCAGAAGCTCCCTACAGCGAGGCTATGCTTGTGAAAACTGCTTGTCTCAACCGCATTCTTGGAGGATGCAGATATCCTGTTCACCCTGGAAAAGGGCAATCAATGCTGGTCTTTGAGGTGTTACAGTACAGGCAAAAATGACAGACCTTCATCTCTAGAGGTCCCTTAGGCAGCTGTATTTATATCCCAGAGCACTGGAACAGGTTGCCAAGAGAGGTTGTGGAGTCTCCTTCCCTGGAGATCTTCAAAACCCGCTTAGACACAATCCTGTGCCACGTGCTCTAGGGGACCCTGCGTGTGCAGGGGTTTGGACTAGGTGATCTCTAAATGTCCCTTCCTACCTTAAGGATTCTATGATTCTATGATCCTGCAAAACTTACTTGCAGGAAAAAAAAGAGCATATTGGAAGAACTTCTCCCAATCACGTACATTTTTATATTCTTTCTGCTGCCTTTTGCTGAGAGCAGAACATGTGTCCCATGTGTTCAAAGGCACTCCTGTCAGCACTCTCCTGAGAGACCAATCCCGAGTGCAGGTGTGCTCGCAGCTCCAAGTGCGGCACCCTGTGACCCACGTGCCACAGAGAGGACCCAGCARTGCTGCAAGGAAGGGGTTCTCACCTGCTGCTGGCACAGTTGGTAGTGCTTGGCTTGGCCAACACACATGGTGCCGTTTGTTCCCTGGGGCATCTGGAGTCTGCAAAGAAGGAGAGCAGAAATGTGCTGCAATGACCAGAAATTTGGGGACTTACTGGGCAGCAGGCAGAGAGATGGCACCTCTCATGGGGACTGGCTACCTCAAAAAAATTTGCAGGGATGGCACTGTGCTGATTACGGACCAAAGCCCATCATGGTTCTCAGCCCATGATGTTCTAGTTCAGGCCATTAAAAGGTGTCTGGGGATGCAGAAGCCTACAGATTAAGACAGTGTGCTCACTGTAAAGGTCAGCAGCAATAGATTAATGGTATTGCTAATTTAGGGAGCCCTGTGTAAAGAAGCACCTTGTAGACATATTTAAGCTGGTCAGAGGTAGTACGGCCTAACAAAGCCTAATTTTCCACCATAAGGCTTCAAAAATGCCATTCTTTTCAGCTGAAGACAAGGCTGGGCAGAAACTGTCTCACTGGACATTCAGCTGCTTTCCTCAAACTGCTAAAACCTTTTGGTTGGGTTTTACGTGGGATTTTGGGGCATAAAAGCAGTTCTCCTCTGCAGGAAGGAGGGCAGGAGGGGGCCTGCTCTGAGCTCAGCAGTGCTCTCATGCTCAGTGAGAGGAGCTGAGCAGTTCTCAGGCTCTGCCACACCACCGCTCATTAGTGCCTCTGCACCCTGGCGCAGCAGATTGGCTCTGGCCAGGGCAAGGAGGGCTCATGTGGCTGTGACAGCAGGGACATGGGGACAAATGGCAATGTAGATGACAAAAGGGATGCCTGACGGAGTCAGATAAACAACAGGGAAAGAAACCTTGCAAGATCTGCAGGGAGTGAGGAGGGAAAATTGCTGAGTCGCAGCTGAGGTGGATGCTAGCAGCAGTAAATAAAGTCCCCAGCAGTGCCTGGGAATATGCAGCCACATCCTAAGCACGGGAGCTGGTTGCAAATGGGGGTCAGAAGAGCAGTAGTAAGTTGGAATTTGTGAAGGAAGCAGGAGGTGGAGCAAAGCTCATCTCCAGCCCGCAATCCCTTCAAGCCTCTTCCAGACCCAACATGCTCCCCAACACATGAACCAGGCTGAGGGATGTGTTACTGGGGGGCTTCTCCTGTGTCAACCGTCCCCACCACAGCAAGCACCATCCTTGTGAGCATGGGTGACCCTGCAAACCAGGGGCAGCTCTGGCCACCACTCACCTCTGCCGCAAGCAGTGTCTCTCCCGGGACATCACCCCTCCGCCACAGGACCGTGAGCACGTGGACCACGAGCTCCACTCACCCCACCACTTGGTGACCTCTTCGTTCCAGGGACTAGCTCCATCTGCTGCCTCACTACTGTCCTGACGGAAACAGAGGATGGTTGGSTGGAGCACTTACCTCCCCGGCCACCCTACCCGTGAGCTGAACCCACTGCTTTTTTGTGCACACCCTGCCCAGAGACCACCCCATGGGCAAATCCTTCCTTCCTGCAAGGCAAACGCGGCAATGCTGAGGTCTCCCTGCCCTCCCTGCAGCAGCTACTTGTTCACTGTGGCTCTCTATTGACAACTAGGTAAATGCTTCTATGTTGTAGCTTGGTTTTTCTTTTCATGGCAACATCTTCCTCTTCTGTGTGATAGCCTGAAAGATCTCAGAAATCTTTGCAGACTCACTATGGAGGAACTTGCTGGTTGTTCACTGACGTACAGCTGTGATTTTAGCACAGCTTGGTGAAAGGAGGTCATCCATCTAGTTGAAAAGGTTGGCAATATTCAAGTATTCAGAGAGGAAGATGAGTGACTTGTGTGCAAGGTCTGCTATGGTAAAATAGGGGAGTACACGGAAGTGGCATCACTGTTACGGTTAGCAAAATGTCTGGCCGTGGCTGGTGGTCCCTTTGGGGAAGAGCTAATCTGCAAAACGTAGTTGATGGATGTGAAAGAAAACTCTGCCAGAGTTGCTTGTTGCGAAATGTGCTCCATTCGCTGTTTTGGTCGGCTTGGCTCTTGGCTTCATGGTGTAATAAAATGGAAGTGCTGTTCATCTTATAGCCTAATCCCTCCTGCTCAAGAACTTGTCGCTTCTACACCATCTGCCAACACAACATCCTCTGGGCAGAGGAGAGGACAATATTTGCATAAAAACAGCTGTAAGTTGTAACTCTGCGTGTCTGAAGTGTGCAGAACAAGTCTTCTAGGTGATAATGGCATAGACGCAACAATCTGAAAGTTGCAAAAACCTGTTGCAGAAAAAAAGCACTATGCTACCCTACCCTACAACCTGTTTTCTTAGTGATCACAGTAACTGATTTTGAAAACAATACAACTTAAATTCTTCACTGTAATTAGATGTTCTAGATGGAGTTGACTTGTCTGACCGAGACCAAACACTGTATCTAGCAGCTAAGCTCATAAAAGGAAAAAAAAAATAGAGAAACAAAATGTTCATTTCAACCTGTGCCTGAGAGAATTTTTGCCTGACTGCCTTAGCCTATAAATGGAAAGGGTGACTATGTAGCTTTTGCAGTGGCAAAGGAAAGACATTAAAGGTCTCTTTCTGTAAGGTATTCTCAGCCAAGGTCTTTCTCCGACCTATCTGCACTCCTCTATGATAAGTGTCTTGCGGCCTGCAGAGGGAGAACCCTCCCTTGCAACCGTCAGGATAGAAAAGGACAGTGATTTATTGGCTGTGCACGCGAGAGCTCGGCAGAGCTGGGATTGCACCTCACAGCTATAATCAAACTCTGTCTTACCATGTGGCTATGCAGTCACCAGCACCATAAGGCCCACAGAGTGCCTACAGGGAAGGCGTATGGACCGAAAGCAGCAGTTTAGCAGTTAGGCAGCTCTAAGTGTCCTGTCCTGGCCTAAACCTAGAGAGGGAACTGGTGCGTTTGCAGTAAAATCCACAGATACTATGGCTTCTAAGTGCAAAAGAGCTGCTGTAATAAACACGTTTGTTCACTAAGGCTATCGAAGGATTTTGTTGAAGTAACCACATCTTGTTAATGATCCACGAGATGTTAACCAACCATGRATAGGCTTTGCTTGCATAGAAACAAGTTTGCGAGACCAAGAGATTATGTACCTAGATAGGGACCAAGAGATAGCCAACTATTTTGCATACAATGGGATGAAACAGAGGGCACTGAGGAAGGCTTATCTGCCTTCCTCCAAAACGACCATCAGAAGGCAGATAACCACCACCTAGAAACAGCCG